CTCGCAAATTGACGAAGTGAAAACAACGTGGAGGCCGTCCAACTATTCAAAGATTTGGGAAAACAAGACCGGTAGGCCTACTGTACAAACAAGGCTGGAGTTTGGGGATTCAAGCAAACAGCAAGTGGTACTTCAAAACCTACTAGAGCTTTGGGGATGACATGTGGTAGTGCCTGTGCTGTCCGCGTGGCATGTGTAATGCACACTACTGACTGCTTGTTGGTGTCTTGAAATAACTGCGCGTTAACCCACATTACAACATGGATTTCAGCTCCAATATTCGTAGAAACTTTCCGACCGTGCCCGAAAAGGCGTCTTTAAAAGCATTTATCCCAAGTTTGTGCACTAATTCCCCCGGAAATGCAGCAAGGCAGGGTGAAACTGAAGCTCATATACCCGAAGACACACGCTGAGGAACCCACCGTTGAGCTGAATCCCGTGCAGCTGCGTCATGCAGCAACACAACACGCGTCTGGGCTTTTAGCTAACACCTGTGTTGTCAGTTTAATAACAAGAGCACGAACATTGATCTGTGTGTGCCTGTGGATATAATTTCAACCAAACTGAAACATCGGCGCAGTTACTGTTTTGGGGATTCTGATTGGTGCGGCAGAAATCTTTGCTCCTCGTCAGAACGCCATAAACAAGGAAAGGACACGACGGTTAACGCGCCAATGCAAGCCTTTCGATCTTCCCTGGTTGATTTTTTAAAGAATCACAGAAAAACAAAAACAACCGTTTAAATTGCCTATTATTATCATGTATTAGCCGCTTCTTGCTGGCGTGCAGACACTTTAGATTAAAGAGGAATCGGCCAGACAATTGTGAAAAACTCGACAAAAAGCTTTTTGCTATTGAAAGTTAGTTCGTCAGTATAGGGTCTCAGGCAATACATCCATTAGGTCAAGTAGGTTTAGTCCGAGAGCCCTCAGATGTGTAAACGGATAACGGAGCCAAAAGACTCAGACCGCCAGCGTTTTATTCGGGCATAAGGACACCATCGTACAGAATACTATAAATCCATCCTGATGAGTTTTCTGGCTTGGTGATACATAGCTGTTCACCAGTTTCCTTCCAACATCAGTAGGTCTTCCTGCAAGACATTAAGCAACTGCTATACTATAATAAATACAGTAACGGATTGATATCCTTCTGAATTAACCGATTAAACTAGAAGTTAGAAAGCTATTATGAAGTCTCAATGTCACTTTTTATTGGATAAATACATTTTGAAATAACCTAGCCTTTTAGGAAATAACTCATCGTTGATCAGAAACGGGATCTTCTCTTAATCGGCTTTCAGACAATTTTGTTTCTTAAACTGAATCTTTATCTGGGGGAGTGCGGTTGCATTATTTTTTTGAGGATTTTACCCTTTAAAGCTACTGAGCAAGTCTTGCTTTGCGGTTTCTGTGATATTTCAATTAAATAGGCTTGCTCTTGCAGCCTTTGTCATTGGAAATTTATTGCTGCTATGGTTCCAGTTTTTTGTAGAAATTACAATCTTGTTGGCGAAGTGGATCGTTCGAGATATGATTGTTCACTCCATCGATCTGTGCGATACATAATCCCCATTACTGTGAGGGCCGTCCAAAGAAATTCACAAGAAGCATTCGATCAGAGTAAACCTTTGTGTTGTCACTTATTTTTGCTGTTGTCAAGTTTGCGTTCCTTGGTTTCTGTAACACACCATAACCTCAACCATTAAAGTAACGCTAATCCAAGGCTCGAACTCGCGACCGAACCCTAACCCGATGCTTGAAATCGCGACCCTAACCAAACCCTAACCCTAAATCCTCAATTGAGTACTCAATATTATCTGGGAAGGTCTACTGACAGTAAAGAGAACAGCTAGTCAAAGGGCTCCCTCATTTGCCCCATGATTGGTGCGCAAATAGTACTGGAGGGGATGTGCTTCCCCCGACGGTGGGCCTTTTTCCGCAACATATCCGTATAACTGGCAATCTTGGTAGACAAGGACTACCAGGGAAGTACAGAATTTGCTCGATTAATCGACCTAAAGAAGAAATGAAGGAACGCAAGCATGACAGCAGCAGAAATACGTCACAACAAAAAGATTACTTCTGATAAAGCAATTGTTGAGAATTTCTTTGGACGGCTTTCACAGTTATGCGGGATAATGCATTGCGCATATAGATGTATTGAACAATCATACGAAATAATTGTGCATTTTTGTGTTTAATTAACTAATTTCCATATGTCAAGTAATCCACTTCGGGAGGAAGATTGTAACTTGTACAAGAAAGTTAAAGCATAGCAACGGCAAATTTTCATTAATAAAGGCTGCAAGCGCAAGCAGATTCGATCAAAATATGGCAGAAACCACAAAGCACGACTTTTTCAGTAGCTTTACAGGGGACAATCATCATCAAATAATGAGCCTGCACTCCCCCAAATGAAGATTCAGATGAAGAAACCGGATTGTCTGAAAGCCAATTAATAAAAGATTCCGTTTCTGATCAAAGATTGAATTATGTCCTAAAGGACTGACTTATTTCCAAATTTGTTTATCCGGTAAAAAGTGGCTATGAGATTTCATAATAACTTTATAACTTGCATTTTAAGTTGTGAATTCATAGCAATATCAATTCATAACTGGAGTGATTATATAGCTGAACAGTTGCTAAATATCTGACTAGAAGACCAACTGAAAGGAAGGCAAAAAGGCCACTTTTTTCACGACGGCTAGGCAAACTGGACCCCTTCATTTGACGCCCACCAATCGGTGCGCAAATAGCGTAGGTAACAGTGTCGTGATTGGGATATAGTCGAGTTATTCAGTACGCAATAGCCGAACA